ATAGTATGTATCATTATAGCGGAACCTCAAACATTCATGACCACTATGCGGTACTTTCTCGTATAAAACAACTGTGTGGAAAAAGTTTGATCGAGAGAAATTGAGGAAAAAGAAGTCGTGAAAGGAGGAAATATGATGATCGTGTAGCTTTACTCTTTTACCTTTCTCGCGTCTAAATACTTTTTATGTGTTTCTTTGGCATCTTATTAAGTCAACACGCATGCATTTTACATACTGTGTCTTAATCCACCGTTTAAATTTACATGACGTCCGCCTGTACCTTCAAATCTCTATAAATCGTCTTATTTGGTTCAAAAAGACGATGCGTAATATGCCAAAGAAAGATTAGCAGTTTCTTCTAGATTCAATTAACCTTTCACATTCTTGTGTGATTAAGACATAGTAGGTACAACTTTTTTAGACAAAAGGATAGCGGTTTTATTATAATATTAAAAGCTAATACAAACATTAACGAGAACATTCTGGATAAAATCCAAGAGGTCTTCAATCCAAAGAGAGTTCAATAAAACATAAAACGACAACTTAATTGGCCAAATTAGTATGGTGGTGGATTAATTTGAGAGCAAGACATGCCCGAGAATAAGCAAGTAAAAGTATCCAACTCTTAAATTCCTCCAAACCCAATCTCAGAAGATTGAGATGACACTCCAAAGTCAAAGGAATTCCATTCCAACTGAAATAGTCAAACACTTCGCGATTGGGCACTCGAGAAATTTTGTGTACAAAAACTGCAATATAACGAACATACACTCTTTGACAATGAGCAGAGTCAACTCCGAAGAGGAACTGACAAAGAACCAACTACTGTTCAACATTGTTTGCGAAACCATAAAAAAGCAGCGAAGTAGAACCAATAGGAGTCCATAATTGTTGATCGAATTGGACTTGGAGTTATTTGATTTTAAATAATTGAGTCCCTGAAGTTCCTCGATTTTAATTGACAGTTCTCCTTTGAGTTTGAATTCGGTGGATAACACCCACCTTAAGATTTCACATTTGTTCTCTGATACAAACGGAAAACCATTTTGTTTCATTCTTAGTGGTTGGCTTTTATCTCCCACCTTCAACTTACAAGCAATAAACGGTCTAGTTATCTCCCAATAGCTTGACACTTTATTTTATTTGATTTATATTTTAGCATTTATATTATATTGATTTTATTTTTGTTTATGTCAATTTTTTATGTTATTATAAATTCACTAGTCTAATTTCTATTATCGAATTGTATTTTCATCTCGTTGAATTCATTTTTATAAAGAAGCTCCTATTTTTTCGTGCGAGTTGTATCACACACTCATAGAAGTAGTGTAACTTATACTATCATGAACCAGAAGTTAATTAACCAAGTGATGACATGATTATTTTAGTCATTCATGATCCACAATGAGGTGTCAAATTATTACAAATTCGTATGGACATATTTGAGGCCTCAACAAAGTGCATGCGTCCTTGCAACTCATAAGGAAAATTGGTCCTTAGACCATCTAAGTCAAAATTGACCTTGGATACCAATTTTCTTCTCGAGAATTTAAAAGTGTATTTGTGAGCTTAATCAATATATAATTGTGGATTGTTTGACCAATGACTTAGATATATCTGTTATAGATAGTGTTTATATTATTCGCTTGCTATTACAAGCATAATTTCAAATTTTGTGGGCTATTCCATGCCACATGGGATTAGTTTGGACCACGTAATTTTTCATGGCTGATCACAAACTTTAAGACTTTATTCATTGCTAATTTCTGCTTGGAAGATGCCTTTTGATCATATGTGTTGGAATCAAAATTGTGCACGTCCGCAGACGAAATGTACCATTTGGATCACTACCTTCAAAATGTGCCATTTTGTCGGAGAAAAAGTATAGATGTTAGCAGATGAGCAAAGAAGCACCATTTTGAGCTTGGTAAATGTATTGCTTGTAAAGTATGCGTTCGTGTATGATTTCAAGAGTCTTTTTGTTTTAGAAATATTATCTATCTTTTTTTATGTCTTGGGTTAGAACATAAATATTAATCAAGAGTCTTTTTGTTTGTGTATGATTTCAAGAGTCTTTTTGTTTTAGAAATATTATATTTGTCTTTTTTACGTCTCGGATTAGAACATAAATATTAATCAACACTTATTTAAGAATCAGTTTTCTTTTTTAAGTAAACCAAATTATTTGTCACTAATAGAAAATAAGCACGTTAATTAATACTAAGTAATAACCCAATCATTAATAACCAGATTATGATTTATAAAATTTGGTTTACACATTTTGTCTTCGTAGCATTATCCAGCTGTAAAACCATCAATAATACTACCGTACATGCACGATGGTGCGTATATATTTATATAGCTAGCCAGAATCACCACTGAATTTTGAACCTGCAGATCGCAATCTTTTGTTTAGCCTAATCCTGATTACAACTTTATTCCTCTTTTTAAAAGCTATTATGTTCGTACGAATTACTTAAAGTGGAGGTGATGGCTGCATATATTATTGTGGTGATGCTGGTTAAGGGTCCAATGGACACCGACATGGCAGCCATTAGATTCCTCCGTTGAGTCAAGTCTTCAATTCTTGAGACACACTCTAAACAGCCGGGACCCTTCCTTGCCCTAATTACAATGATCCAATATATAATGCCCTTAACAAACAGAAGGAAAAAAAATGCCAATGATGCTAATAAACAGAAGGAAATCTTCCATCAAATGGTCTTTGGAATCGCCGTGAAGCAAACCGTCGGCTGATTGCCTGCTAAGCTTGCCAGTAAGAAGTTATGCACCAACAATTGGGTCGATAGACCTCCAACTTCTCTTGCGTATTTCCTCTCACGAGATGGCCTTCCTCTTCCACGCCCATTCCCGTGGAAAGTGATGCATGATGTTTTCAAATAGTTTTTATGTTGTTAGCTTGGCTGGCGACTATCCCGTGTTGGGTAAGTATTTCTAGTGTGTTTTTACATGATTGATGAACGAATAGAATGAATTAATCCTTAGGATTCTCACGAAGAGCATCCGTATAGCATGCTATTCCTTACTTTTGGCCTTGCTGCCTGGTTTTGCTCTGTAGATTTTGTTTGTCATTTGGCTGCCTTTGGGCTTTTTTAAAAGTTCTTTTGACCAAAAGAAATTCTATAAATCATTTTATTTAACTTACGATATTATTTACATTAACGGAGAGAGTGTAGGCTTAACTTCACAATAAATAGCAATAATGTAGTTCAAATTTGTTGTTAGCGATAATCTAACCTAAGACTTCTCACTTATAAGTGAAGAGGATACCACTAGACCGTAGTATTAAGGTCTCATTTGGCACACCTGATAGTATTAATAATACGAAGCGGGTGTTTGGTGAGTAGGGGTGGGCACTTGGAATCGAAAACCGAAACCTAAACATGAATCGAATCAGACCGCACCGAACAATTTGATTTTGCGGTTTTAAAACAGTTGCGGTTTCGAAACCGAACCGCGGCAAAGAAAACGGTTTGGTTTCGGTTTTGGGTTTTCAAAATCGCACCGAACCGAAACCGAAAAACCGCGCCATATATCCTACTAGTTGTGATGTTATGTTGTGTGGGTTTGTATGCATGTATCCTTGCTAGTATTCGGCATTTTCAATGTGAATCCTTACTATCATTCTTTCAATCGTTTGTGCTGCTATGTGTGTGGTATACATTGCGCTATTAGAAACCGGCTACGTGTGTGGTATAATTGATAATGCCAATGGTAGTAATTTTAAGTACCTATGAAAGGCTGGATCATATATATCATTAATACTTTAACCAAAAGTTAGCCTCATTATTTCCAATAGATGGTTTTCTTCTCCAAAACAATGGACAGAAACTAAAATATATGCCAATGGCAAGGGGGATATAGTTGAATATCAGAATGCGTAACAAGCAAGACTAACAAAAATAATAAGAATATTATTAAACAAATAAAAATGCCGAAACGGCTACACAATCCTAAGAGGCTACATTGTGACTAACTTTTTATATACTGAATAACAAGCATGCTATTTATAATAAACTAACCCTAACCCTAAAAGGTAAGAAATTGAAACCCTAATGCTAATGGGCTAAGCCCAGAAAACCAAACATTCAAATAAACTAAAATCCTAATATTTTCCTAACATATATTACTCTGCTTGCAGATAACATCGAAAAGTATGTTAAAAGTGATAACATCTGGTTGACATTCAGGCTCTTGACAATTTGACAAAGCATTTCATTGAAAAGTTTCAATCCTTACTACCATTATAATTAATAAATGTGTTGTATGGTTTACCTCGTAATGGTGCTAAGTTATTTTTACAGTTTCGGTGCAGTTTTTCTGCAGTTTCGGTGCAGTTTTGATGCAGTTTTTTTTTTTTTTTGCAGTCTGCACTGTTGTTGCTGTTTTTGCTGCATGTTCATGGATTAATATATGAGAAAAATAAAATCGTTTTATGCTTAAATAGGTGTATATTTTAAATTGTACATTTTTTTCTCAAAAATCGAACCGAAACCGTTTGAAATCGCACCACACTGAACTAAATAGTTTGGTTTCATTTCGGTTTTGGTTTCAAAACCTCACCGAACCACATCGGGCCCCCCTTATTGGTGAGCTTCGTTTGAAATAAGCACCGGACTACTTAGACCTAGTTTGGGAGTGAGGTGCTTAAAAAAAAAAACACCTATGAAAAAAAACTGTGAGGGTTTTAGGTGTTTGGTAAACTCAAAAAAAATAGCTTATTTTAGAAGCTGCTGTGAGAATAAGCTGAAATCAAAGGAAAAAGCTGAAGCTGCTATTTGTAGCTTTGGAAAACTGACTTTTTTTCAAAGCACATGGAGCTACAGTGCTCCTTTAATGAAAGGACCCATTATCAGACTACTTTTTTTTCCAAAAGCTTTTTTACAAAAAAGTTTACCAAACGCTCTGCTGATTTATTTCACAGCCGCTTATTCTCACAGCACAGCCGCTTATTCTCACATCAACTTTTTTTCAAAGCACAGCAATACCAAACCAGCTCTTAATCCGAACCCACTTATTTTATACTCCTCACACCCGGTTATTTATCCCGTCTAAAACCTATGTATTATTAGTCCGGTGGATCCTCTCACTCACTCAATCCCTCATGCAGCAGTACTCTCCTTCCACTCTCGCATTTCCTGCTCGCTCTCTCGTCTGGATAGCTGCAGGTCAGTCTCCATCGTCTTCTTTTTTTTCTCTCTTTGTTCCTTCCTTCTCTTTTACACACACATCTCCCACCTCCTCCGTCTCTCCCTCTCTCTCTCTCTCCCCGTTACAGTCATACAATAGTAGTTGTAGTAGTAGGAACCCTTTTTAAATGTTCATCTGTCCTTTAAATTAATACATGAAATTTTGGAAATAGGGTATTTGTTGTATTGATTTGGTGGGTTTTCTGTTCTGGTTGTGGTTGTGCTCCTGCTCAATTGTTTGACAATTGTCCGAGTTAGTTCGCCTTCGATCTCTAACAAGAACAATTTTAATCAAACTTTCCATGGGTTGAAGGAGGAAGAAATTATTCAAATTCTTCCGATCTGGGCTCCGATGAGGAGAGGGATATCAATTTGCATCTGGGCTCTACCAAGAAGGACGAAGCCAAGAAAGGGAGCTTGACTTTCTCTGATTATGGTTGATTTCTGGGCTTCAACAAGAAGGACGAAGATGAGGAAGACAATCTAGGCTTCAACCATTAAAAATATTTATTTTTGGGATTTTTGTTTTTGGTTAATCTGTGTGTGGATTTTACAAGGATTCTAAAAGTTGGATTTTTCCATAAATTTTTGTAATTTTTTGGAATCCTGCTTAAATTCATATGTATATTGCTGAAACTGTATTCAAGAAATGTTGTATACCAAACACGGTATAAATAATACGGTCTTGGTCCAATATTGCACTAAACTTCTGATTAATTAGTCAGTACTATTCGATAACTATTTATCCTATCCAATTGAAATAGTTAATACAGTCCGAGCTGCCAAATGAGGTCTAATACAGTCCGAGCTGCCAAATGAAGTCTAAGTGGCTATATAAATCACATTTAATGAAGCTAATTTCTATAGGATAATATTTGGAGGAATGCACATATCACACGCAAATAGTGATTTATCGCGGTGGCGTAAAATAATTATGTCTATACATCTTGATGTGGGTTTGATTACCACCAATTCTCCTCCATTCCAACGACTAACAATTTAACTCATTAATGTTATCGTTTATCAAAACAAAATGCACTATAACACCACTTACAAATAACGTTTGTCAAAGAAAATGCACATATTATACTGCTTACAAATAAGGTATTGCATCCATCCATATGAAACAAGTCGACAGTATGAGTACCAAGTAATATATTCATTCAACATGAATACTGCTCATCTATTTAATACATTTAAATGATTAAACAATGTACAATTCAAATGATTCTTTTGTAAAGATAATATTCAAATAAATATTAAAAAAGCTAAAATGTTCTAAACATAGAACTTATCCGATGAAGATACATTATTCAGAAGAGTGAAATATGTACATGCTCTATTAAGGAATACAAGTTTTATCCATTTCTATTCGCATTTTCTTTATCTAAAAAAATAAATTGATACACATAGTCATGGAAAGTCATGGGCCATACCCTTCAAGGTGTTGGGTAGCATATGGATAATCGGAGTTGGGTCATATTTTTTATTTTTGGTTATTACTAATAATTTTTTATTTTGTAGTTGTCCTTGCATATTTTTTCCACACTTTTTTTGGTCGACAAGAAACCATAGATTGGTTTCTTGTTGATCCCCACCAACAATACATAGGAGTCATTAAACATTGCTTAATGAAATGTGGAATGAATTTGTATAGTCAAACAAAGTATGTAAAACTTTATGGGGGCGTTTGTTACACCGGATTATCTCACACTGGACTAACTTTAGGGACTAAGCTGGATTGGCTTGGCATGGACTAAGTAATATAAGAATAATGAAACGTTTGATGTAGTGTTGGACTAAATCACGGATTAAATTATTTTATAGCTAAAATACCTTTTTGTCATTTTCTTATTCATTTTATTAATATTTACACACTTTTTTTTTTTGATTCTCTCTCCCCATCCCTCTACTTTTCTTCTCTGGTTTGCATTTTCTTCTTCGCAAGCCCAGATTTGCTTCCACTAATAATCAAACCCAGAAACTTCCTCTTCTTTTCATTTGCTTTCTCTTCAATTAAAACTCATATTTCTCTTATTTTAATTTACTTTCTCTAAATATCAAACCCAGAAAAATCCCTTTTTTTTTTTCAATTTGCAAAGGCTCGGATCGTCGGATATGTCGACGACAAACTTGCAGACGCATCCTCCTGGCAGAGCGCTTGGCAACCTCAAGGAGGATGCAAAGGTTAGTGGCACGAGATCTGGAGCTATAGCCTACAGGTAGGGCCTGTGCGAGAGCTGGAGCTACTGAATCGGTTGATTGCAGCCCGAGAAAGAAGAAAAGCTTAATTGCGGTGGTTGGGGATCTGTGGAAGACGAAGAGGAAGACGACTAAGGAAGACAACTGAGGAAGTCAAAGCATCAGCACGGTGCTGAAGCGAAGCGATGTTTCTTAGCAATCCCCCATCCTTTTTGCCTGGCCTCGCTAAGCCCAGCTAGCGAAGAGTTTAGTCGGAATGAGTCCGAGCTAGTCCCATTAAATTTAGTCTTGGCTGGCACCAAACATGGCTTAATATTCTTAGCTAAGCTAGTCCAGTCCAGTCCAGTGAGGCCTAGTGAGTGCAAACAAACACGCCCTATATGGCTATCATAAACACAAACGTAATTCTATAAAAGGTTCTTAAAATTTAATAATTATTTAACTATTCGATTAAATTTGAAAAAATTTTAAAATTTAAATGAAAAATATAATTTGTTCATTTATTATTTAGAGCAAGTCCACCGGGAACAAAATGTCCCAACCCTCAGTCCAAAAAACAAACTGGCCCTCAGTCAATTTGCTCCAGCCCACAAAGTTGCCTGGCACCCAGCCCATGCCAGGCAACAGACCAGTCCAATTTTGACAGACCTAAGAGCCGGCCTATTTGGCTGGCGCTTGCAAGACAATCGTTCGTGGGCGCGAGTAGCCGACAAGGCTGCAGAGGGCTGTCAGCCCATCAGCGACGTGGCATGCTCATAGCTGTTGGATTTCCAACCGCTAGTTTTGTAAACCATTGGATTTCCAACAGTAAAAAAAAATTAAAATTGACTTTTAAAATGGACCGTCCGATCACAGATCAACGGTCCACGTTTTTTCCCCCAAAAAATTAAGAATTTCACTTTTAAAAAAAATACATAAATTTTTTAATAAATTTAGATATTATTATTATTATTATTATTTTATTTTTTATAAATTCAGAAATTAAAAATAAAATTATTATTTTATAATAAAAAATAATGATATTTTAATAATTTGGAGTAGGCTATTTTTTGTTAGGGTTGAAGATGCTTTGATTTATTACTGTTCACTAAGATATATTACTATTTACTTGAGTGGATAAATACGCTGGGTGCTGACATAAAATTCTTAGGGATGAACTTGCTCTTAACTGTTAGATAATATACGATCCCTTGGATTGAGCTAGTGTGTTGTTTGAGTTGTTCTGATTTGTACGTGAATAAAGTGGGCGTGGGTACGTGGGACCAGAGAACAGTACAAGGGCGTGGCTCATGCTTTTTCAGCAACCCCGATGGACCCACGGCCCCATACAACTGCACCTCCACGCACCGGCAACGCGTGCTTCCGTGTCCACCCACCAAACCTCCCTCACTCCGTCCCCCCGTCTCTCTCCCTCCCACCTCTCTTTCTCTCATCTTTACATAAAATAAATAAGTAAATAAATAAATAATACATCACGAGATCATACGAAAAAAGAAAAAGTATAAAATACCTGGAGATCACGAAACTCAACACCACATCTTATTGATAACCACGACTTCAGAGACCGTCACAGACGATCGATTTGATCGCACTCCTCTTTTTATTTTATTATTTTTTTTTATAATTGATATAAAAATTTTATATTATAGTGATCTTGCGTAACATGCATGATGATCCCCTTATCTTGCATAATTTTCATGGCCATGGATAATTGGATTCGATCCTCTTTTCCAATCTGTCACTCGACAAATTAACATTAACAAAATAATATCATTGAGCAAATGACAAAACCCACTCCAACAATTAGAAACCAGAAACATATTTTGTTTATGAATTATCCATCTTTTTTTGCCATCAAATTTTCGTGTGATATGCAGCCATTGCATATATTCACTATTTGGGTCCACTTCTCTGGACGGTTTGATTTTGGTAACACCCCCACTCACATGTCCAACCAACGGCTATATTAATCATTCTACTAGGTCTTGGTCTTTGCTTATTCTTATTAGGTGGAAAGTCAGCATCAACTCATGCGAATGTTAGAATGAGTCGTGTATGAGCTGATTCTGATTATTATTTGTGAGATGTGAATGATAAAATTGGTCGTGTGTGGGCTAATTTTTGCTATTATTTGTGAGACACCTTATAAATATAAATGGTCAAAATCAATATAAGACGTGTATGCAATTGAAAATCACACTTATTGTCTCAATTTATACAACAATTAAAACAACTTTTATAATTATTTTCTTGGCTGTTGACGCCGAGCTTAGGATTTACGAGAAATTTGTTGAGCGTTTTATATTTGCGATCATGCATAATTAATTACTAATTATGGAAGCCATCATTGAATTTAGTTGTCATTTAGAAATGATTTATTATAATAATAATCTTATTTCATTAACAAGTTATTGAGCATCTACCCATACTTGTGTGTGTACATAACGATGAATGATGTGGCTTGTTATGTTCTCGTACAATAGATGATCACTACATCTTCACAGTCTAGCTTATTACATAATAACATACGAAATTATGTGTAAGATCAGAAATTATGCTATGAAAGAAAAAGAATTTTCGAAGAATCTAATAACTCAACCCCACCCATCATACATTTGATGATTTACAATGTACGCTTACATAGAAAAGATATGCATGGTTTCTTAAACTTTACCCTTAATTAAATTAAAATGGAAAACGACAAGGCTAAATTAATAGAAAGTAGAATCACAATGATCTAAAGCTTCTGTGGGAGTGTGCTGGATTTGATCGATATCTCATGTTCATTCTTTAATTTAGGAGAAATTCTTAAATAGGAATTTCTGTATACAAGTTTTTTTTATTTTTAATATTTTTAATTTTTTATACATCGATATATTAACATCAAGAAGTAGATGAATAAGTTGATATCGAATTTGTTATTTACGATATTTTAATTAAAGTTTCTCACTTACAAATAAAGATGAATATCAATACCATTCAACCGTATACAAACTTCTTTGCTATACTATTCATAAGATACATGCTTATTGTACGGTCGTGATCTAATTGTCGGCAGGCCAGGCCATGCCACGATACTCTTCTCATTTTCATATTAACATGCCTTGTACTGTTGTACAAATTATACAATTAGAACACATAATCGAGACAACTGTAGATTTGGATATATTATTCTCGGGTGCATGTGAATCACTGTGTTGTAAGTTTAAGCTGTTATTCTACTGATTGTCTTTTGAGTTGAGCAATGTACCTAGTTTATGATCCTTAACAATTATAAAAATAATTAATCACAAAGAGATTAGATAAAATACAAACTGATCAATATCTCTATATTATATATTTCAATTAAATAATATTTGCGTTGCTGGACTTGTCTGGGGAGGCATCTCTTTCACAAACCTTGAATCACATTGGCTAAGAGCACTGGGATTTGTTGGGCATGCCTCAAAACCTAACTGCAACAGCAGCACTTTGGTTTCTGTGTGTGAAAGAGAGATTCTTAAA